TCCGTCATATAAACGTATGTGAAGTTTAATTGAAATCTTTTTTTTTAATAAAATAGTATCTACGTGCCATAGAACTTTTTTACAATGTAAAGTATCAAGTATCGTGCAGTGATAAATTTTTTTTTTTTTTACCAAAATAAATTTATGAACGAACATTGAAAGTTTATAAGTTCTCTGAGCCTAATTTAATTTAATTACTTTTAACATAATTACTTTACAAGACCTGAAAGACGATCCACGTGAAGGACGTACAAAATCAGGAACACTAAAAATCGTTGAAGAAAAACAGGATAAAGTATTGGAAAATCGTCGAGTGACTGAAAGAGATTTAGTAGAAGCCCTAGGCGTCTCAGTGGGCAGTATATGGATTATTTTGACTGAAGTTTGAGTTTCAGGGAGCTGTGTGCAAAATGTGTGCAACATTCGCTAAAAATGGAAAAAAAAACTTCCTCAGCAACATTTACACTAAGACGAGTTAGTGTCCAGAAATCGGTCAAGAATTTGTTAGCATCAGTTTTTTCAAATACAAAAATAATTTTGTTTGCAAACTGGTAAAATAAAAAATTCGTAATATGGCTGTATCCTTTGAGACCAGCTGAAGGAAAAAATTCGTGAGAAAAGAACCGGTTTTCAGAAGAAAAAATTCTTCTTCATCAATCTACCGTATCACGAAAGCATTTTGACAATGGCTAAAATCTCTGAATTAAAGTTTGAATTGTTGGAGCATTCACCGTATTTGCCAGACTAGACCATAACGACTTCCATTTTTTCCAAACCTAAAAAATACATGCCTGGAAAGCGTTTTTCATCAAATGGTGATTTCATAACTGCTGTGGAAGCGTATTTTGAGGCTTTTCCAGGTTCTTTCTTTCAGGGATGGAATTCACAAAATGGAATCTCGTTGTAACAAGTGGAATAACAAAGTGTATTTCAGACCATAAAATTGTGTTTTCTTATAGAACCGCAAAACTTATTAAACAACCTTGTAATTATGAGGATGTTAAGCGTGCCCTGGAGCGTCGATATGGAACTGCCCACAGAAGTTCATGGTCTGCAGCTGAAGGATAGGGTACAACGTTACTGAGAGTCTCTTCAACAGTTCGCGGTTTAGCTCATCGTTAATCCAAGAAACGCAATAATTGCCATAGCTCTACGTGACATAGCTCATCGTTAACACAAGAAACGTAATAATTGCCATAACTCTACGCGCAAGAATAGTGAAGCGGGCGGACGCTAGCGCATTAGGCATAAACTCCTTGCGTCGTGTCGAAATAAAGTTCCTCAGAGCTCCGGATCGAGATAGAGGCCCTAGTGAAACAGAGCGGCGATCAGAGTCGGTGGATCGCCAGCTATTTCTATTGCCACCGAAAAGTATTATATTAGATTGGGTATTGAATACAAATTGATACATCATTTTGGTTGGATTGTTTTTAAAAAAGAAGAAAAATGCATTTGTGAAAAATACGATTGGCTTAAGCTAGTTGTTAGAGCCTACACAATAAATACCATCAAACCGGTTTTTCTCACAGGTCACCCCAACGCAAAAAGTTGACTCTGCGGGACTTGTTAGATTAGAAACTTTTCTCGTTTTCTATTCTAGCGGCAAAGAACGCTGATGATACTGCATATTCGGATGCCGAGTGTGTGACTTTGTTGTTCAGACATTACCACCAGAAAAATTCTATCTTGTCAGTTTCCGTTTGCTGGATCTGTCTTAGCATTAAGTCCCACACTACCAATAAATAGGCGTTCCGGGAATTTTTACCTTGCAGTACAGGACAGTACTTGACGTATAGGTCTCATACCTATAAGTTGAAAAATGTTCGGATTCAGTTTCACGTCGGAAAATATGTCCCTCCCTGTTCAAAAAGAACTCAAATTTCTTTGTGTTAAATTGATTCTTCCTGGCTTCATCACTTCTTTGTATATTCCACAGTCTTCTGGTATCACGATATACGAACAGAACTTGTCTGCCATAAAAACCATTTCTTCATTTCTGTCAGATAAAAATGTGTGATAGTTCGTACTGATTTTAACTCACTAGGTGCTGTTGGGTTTTCGGTAATCGAAAGTAATAACTTAGTACCCATGTCACGACATGACTTATTGACGGCTTGCCTGTCCTTGTCCTTGTCTACAGTCAACTTTCTGCGCTCTATATCTGTGTTTTATATCGGATCCGACCATTGTATTATTAACCCGAGCTCTTTCTCTCACTATACCTGAACGACTACTTTCCTACCTTCAAAGTGTCGGGCGATATTAAAACAGCTGGGTCAGGCAGGGAAGCTCATACTCTCCTACAGAGAATTATATGTGCATCATATTTGTTTTTTATTAGAAAAGTAAAAATACTGAAATATAAAAATATTGAAATGTTTAGTGTTACGCATATTAACATATTAACTGACACACAAGTAATAATAATTTCTACCTTTTCTAAAATAATTTCTACAAAAATGTAGAAAAAGAAATTTTACTATCAAGACTCTCTAAATATACATATATTGTTAGTCCGATTTTAAACGACGGGAAACATTGTGAGCACCTCCCAAAACTGACACCTTGGAAAAGAAGTTAAGCAATATTGCGAACTTGCCCGAAATTCTGGTAAGGTGACGGGGGTGACTTGCCCAAGCTAATAAAGAAAAGGCTGGAATTCGGTCATAAGCTCAGACACCATTAAGATATACAAGCGGAAGGCGCATCCTGTCGATAACCCAGTCGAGCAGGAGCCAGCCCCAGAAGGTGTCTCGTCGGACACAGAGCTGATGCTCGATGGCGACTAAACGGCGACAAGCCTAAAGCTGCAAGGGTCACATCTAAGGCTGTTGTCGTCCTACATGGCCCAAGCTATGTAGCCAGCTACAGCGAGGGGTCGGACACTCCCCTACTAATAGGTTGTGATGCCAACGCTCACTACACCCCATGGGGGAGCTCGGACACAAATGTAAGAAGTGACTCACTTTTCAGCTTCATCCTAAACTTAAATTTTTGTATTTGTAATCAGGGCAACGACCTCACTTTTATAATTAAAAATCGACAGCAGATTATTGACCTCACTTTAGTGAGACATAGTCAAGAGTTATAAAGTCCTGGAGGACCATTCCCTTTCTGACGGCAGGCCCGAACACAATGGACGACCTAGATCGTCTAGTGAACAGGTTCACGGAAGCATGCAACAAAGCCTTCACGGCAGCATGCCCCACAAATAAACCTAGGGGAAAAATGGAACCCCCTTGGTGATCAAAACAAATAGATATAGTACGTAAAAGCTGCAGGACTCTCTTCAACAGAGCCTAAAGCACTAACGAAGAGAAGCACTGGGAAGAATATAAAATCAGTCTGGCACTGTACAAAAAAGAATCTACGGAAGCAAAAAGGGACTCTTTTGGTCTGAAATCAAGGAAACGTGAAAGGCCGCAAGGCTACGCAAGATCCTTTCGACAACTACTCCCTCGGTGGGGTACTTTAAAAAGAATGATGGCACGTAGAGTAACTCCAGTGAGGAATCCATACACATTTTAATCGATACTCATTTCCTCGGAGGTACAACCATCGAGCCGCCACACCTCTCTTGGTAACTTTGATTACTAAACACCTCAACCCGTGCTAATCGCCAGGTCAAGCCGGGGAAAAGGCCGGGGACATAGCCATCAACTGGCTACAATGTATCTTCAGGAGGATACTGGCAGTGGGTACAATACCACAAGCGTGGCTTAAGACAAAGATAGTCTTTATCCCCAAAGAAGGGAAAGCCTCAATCCTAAACGACTTTTAGACGTTTAGACTTTAGTTTATCGTTCAAACGGCACTCCATGAAATAAGCTCAGTGGTATAGATATCTCAGCATTTCAAGAAATTTATAATAACTTTAACTAATAATAACTCATTAATAACTTTTCTCGTTATCGAGGGGAGCCTTTAACAACGTCGTACAGGGTGCCATTACCCAAGCCCTGACTGACCTGGGGGAGGGAACAGGAACAGAGGCACCTCGCAAGGTAGTTGCTACGTGGACGATGTTGCACTTATCTTCTGGATGAAATACCCCCAAAACTTGCGCGAAATCGTGTTCTTCCCAAATAAATACAAAGTCTCAACCTTTCAACCCCCCATTTTAAATGGATGTAGGCTCTCCTGCAGTTCAGCGAACTGCCGCCCTATGCATCTGTGGAGCTCTTCGCACCACTCCAAATGATGCCCTAAATGCCATCTTATGCCTCCAGAGTCTTGGCCCTGCAGGTTAAAGTCAAGGTTTTCTATTTACAATTAATTTTTTCTGCAGTCTATCCAAAGTTAACTAAAAATCGTTACAGACGTGTTGTCTTAAAAATAATTTGTTTCCTAATATGACTATGATATTAAAACGAATTTATTTGACGGCAGCAAGAAAATAAAAATTAGACGCAGAAGCTCAAATTTGCAAAAAGCACCGACTAGAGATGTGAGAAATACATGCAATTTCAGAGAGCGGCTTTTTTTGTCGCTTGGTGTAACTTATGTACGTATGTACATATGTATGTATACATACGCATGTATACAGAGAGAAATAGAAGCAGAAAAATGCCTGGACAGACAGAATTAGTTATGCATTTACTTATATACATAAATTATATTATACTATATTCTATATAGCCGCCATTTCACTTTTTATGAAACTTTTCCTAGCTTGTCCAAAAAAAGAAAGAACGCCCACAATTAAATCTGGAACAAACTGGAACAAACGGACATATGTACATACATTTAACTACCAATTTATTCACAAAATTTTATATACAATAAAGTTTTGGTTTATAAAAGATCAACAAGTGGTTTTCCATTCAGCCTGACCCATGGTTAATTAAATATGTATGTATGTACATTCGTCACATAATTGGAATAAGAGATATGTTCACACATATGTGCATATGTGTATACCAATTGTATGCACTATACTGGCATTGCTCGTGGACTAACGGCGCAAGAAACGTCAAGCAGTACAATCGTTTCACACTCACCTGTAAATGCTCCTGAAAGCGGATGGGTAGCGGTTGCGTCATCTTTGAAAGATAGTTTTCGATTTTAGTAATAAGGATTACTTAAGGATTCCACTTCAAGTACAATAATATAAATATGTTTTTTATTGATTATGAACAATTTTCTGTAAAAGAAGATTATAGACACCCAGCGGCGTTTTTGCAGTTATTTAAATAATTTTTAATGCATATACATAGTTAAATAAATATACATATGTACCTATGTTTTTTGAAAAATCTTCCCTTTTTTCTTAGTTGCAGTGATCTTTGATTTTCTTGTTAGTATTGCTTTTTCCGTTTTTGATGTTATTTTATTTCAAAATGCTACAATTTTGCGAAATGAATACAATAGAATAATAAATACAATAGTCAATAAAATGAAAATTTTAATGACAATTTAATTTTTAATATAAAATTTATGCAACCATTTATAGGTTTTATTTTCCATTTAATAGACTGTGAAGCGTAACCGCCACAGCACACTCAGTTGTATTTACTAGGCGTATGGCTCTTAATAAATATCTATTCCTTACACATTGAAGATAAAATAATATAAATTTAAAACAAAAACCCCTACTGATAAACACTGTACGCGCGAGCAAGCACCAATGCTTGAAAAGAAAAGAGGCAGCACTACCGACAGATTACTCGTTGCTCACCACAGTAAAGTCAGCCATGTTGAGTTGCGCTTTTAACAATTAGTCATTCACTAACACATTTACACATATTTTCACATAGGTTCAAGTGAGAAAAATATTTCCAGTTTATAAACCAATTTATAATTTATCTTTGCTTCACAACATAACAAGATATACAAAAAAATATAGATTATAACATTTTTTTTTTTGCAAATATGGACTTGGCCTTTTCACAAGTAAACTGAACTGCCATATGCCACATAAACAAAATAAAATTTCTATGCTTACATACAAAAAATGTACTACCCTATGCCTAATAACGTTAAACCTTAACACCAAATTTTATGATTTGTAAGAGCAAATATATGCATTGAATTTAATATATTCGAAGAGTTTATCTTAGTTGTAATTTAAATAAGCGTACATTTATTTTGTTGTGTTTTCGCTTGCCCAGAAACACTAAACACGGGAGAGATGACAAATCAATTCAAATTTGGCTTTAGCACATTTTATTAGTTGATAGGCCAAAAGGTAAAGAGAATACATCGGGTGCGTAGCGCAGCAGAACCGATAAATTTTTGATCGACTCCCTTGATTAGTTATATCGAATAGCATCGTCTAGTTTTTGAACGAAATTGTGAGAAATATTGCACTTACTTTATTTCTTAACGCCTTTTTCAAATTACACTGGTAATAAACAAGGTTGGCATCACGCTTGTTAAAATCTAATATCAATTTATTAATTTAAATTTGAAAAGAACATCAAACGGCTAAATATTTTCTCATCTTATTTAGATAAGACCGACCCCGATCATATAAATAATTTAGAAACAATAGTTTGTGAATGTTAGTTTTAAAATATTAAAAAAGTCAGTTTAAGCGGGTGAAAAAAAACGCGCGTTGGAAATGTTTCAATAACTTCAAAACATTCAAAAAATTGTATTTATGTGACGTGCTGGTTTAGTTATTGTGAAAAATCAATACATCATTGTTCTTTTCTGTATGTGAGTACTTAAGACTGTGTAGGAAGTTTGTTAAACAAAAGTACTTTGTTAACGCTAGCTCACGCGCACAGGATACTACAATTGGCAGGGGAGGTCTGCATCACCTAACACAAAGCGTCTGTTTTTTACCGTTCTACAAACTAAACGCAGGCAATTTTGCATTATTAACTGAAGGCAAAAGCTATAACTCCTTCCAAACAGGTATGAATTTGTTTATTTTTAGTGCATACATATTTAAATTCCTTATACATAGCTATTTTTTTTGCTACATCCTTGATATAAGTTAAAACGATAGAAACGAATAAATAAATCCATACATATGTATGGATTAATATATAAATATAATTCATAAATATATATTTTATTTTTTAGTGTTCACCCACGACTACAACTGTAAACATTGGACGTATCCTCAAACTTTATACGGTCTTTTATTTTACCTGTATTGTGCTTGGAATTACTTGTGATTTATATACATATGTATGAAAATATCCCGGAACATTTATATGTATATTTTTTTTGCACGTTGAAGTATTCATATGTACCTATGCTCACACTTGTGCACATATGTAATGTTGATGTTGCTCATTCAAAACAAATTTAATGCAAAAAAAAAATCAAAATGCTCGCTCCCAAGACAACAATTCTCTCCCTGATCCAAAATCATTGATATTTGAACACACATATGTATATCGTATTCTGTTATGTGTATGAATGCAATCATATATTGTCATACACATGTACATAGTTGAATTTTGGACGAATCTTAATCACTTTCGTTTTCATTAACCTTACCATACACTCCGCTACACATAAATAAGACTGCCCGTATATCTGTACCGTAAATGTGATGGGCTCCTAGCCAGCGTGACAAACGCGTCTACCTAACTTAACCTGCCCTGTAAGCGATATTTTAACGAAGCCTAAAAACGAGAAAAGAAGGGACCGAAGAAGACGGATAGGCAAAAAAAAAGGATTAATTCGACTTACACGTAGATCTTTTCTATCGATATGCTTACAAAGTGTCTGTAATATATACCACAGATGTCATGGTCGTATGACAACATACTTCAAGTCTTATTTAGACTGACGGACAGAGATATAAACAGACATAGCGATAAATATAGTGTGAAAGTGTTGGTAGCCGTCACAGCTATCAATCAGTGCTGTTCCGGAAAAATTGTACTTTTCGTGTCGTTTTTAGATTTGATGTCGATAGGTTTAATTTTTTCATCGATTCTGACAAATAAAAACAGCTGATCTGGTTGCTTCAATAATATACAGCGTGATAAAATGCCTAATTACTTGTTTTGAAGCAAAACCACGTCAGAAAGTGCGCGATTTAAGAAAATCGAGACATCTTAAATACAACACCTGTATATTTAACATGTCTGCTACTCTGCGAGTAAGAGCTTGCATATTGAAAATTAAATTACTAATGGTTAACAAATTTAATTGTTGTACCAAAATTTTGAATTAAATGGGCGGGAAAAGGCTTACCCTGCTGTTCTGTTGTGCGCATGTTATGAGAACAGTCTGTGCTGGGATGTGCAAATATTTATTTCATTTCCGATAAACAAATCGAAATGCGTCAGCTGTTTGCACGAAAACGAAAATTCTTGTTGCCCCAACCAATTATTTTCAAGCCAAGTTTGAGGTTGGGTTAAGAAAAAACCCTTTATAAGGAAGGTACAAGCCTTGCAATTAAGATACGTTTTGTTACATAAAAAACCGTTTACTTTTCGTCGAGGAAAATGTTTCGTTTTTAAAACGTAGAAATCTTGCGGGTTGTAAAAACGGAAACACAAATTTATGTGATTTCGGAAAACTTTTGTGAAAGTGAAAACCGGAGCCTGTCTGTATATAAAGGTTTTTATTGCTCAACACTTGCCTTCTTTTCCCGTAACGTTTTATACCCGATACTCATAATGAGTGTAGGGGTATATTAAATTTGTGGGGAAAATGGATGGAAGCGTTTCCGACCTCATAAAGTATATATATATGTACATATATATATTCGTGATCAGCATCAATAGCCGAGTTGATTGAGCCATGTCTGTCTGTAGGTCCGTCCGTCTAGTTTGACGTCTAGTTCTCAGAGACTGTAAAAGCTAAAGCAACGAAATTTTGTATCCAGACTGCTTCGTTTTACACTGAATCAAGTTTTTTTAAAAATTTTGCCACGCCCCTTTCCGCCGCCACAAAGGACGAAACCCAAAAACGCTCAATCATAGAAAATTACCATATCTTCTAGACTGTCGAATCTGGATCAGATTGGATTATAATTATAGCAAGAAGGAAGAAATCAATTTGCAGTTGCTACGCAAACCCAGCCACGCGCTTACTCATTCTCCCTCTCTCTATCTTACTCTCTAACACATTCTTCGTAGTTCAATGTGTGCGCCCTCTGGCGGAGAGGAGCCATACTGACTGAGTATCGGGTACAAATGCAGCGTAGCAGCGACTCACAACGTTTCCCCCTCGTTTTATCTGGTCTCACCGTTAGTTGGACTTAAGTCTGGTGGAATACGTTCATACGAAGAAAATATTGTGCCGCCGACTTGACAATACAATATAAAGAACGATGTCTAACGAAAAAATTGTAGAAGCTGTGCGCAAGAATGACCCAAGAATACAATTTTTGGCAAAAGAGGACTAAGAAATAAAAAAACATAAATTGTTTTTAAAATGTTTTTAAGCATCTCAAAATAAAAAAGAGGCAGGTGCCACCTCTAGTCATGCCGCTACTTAACATTTTTCACAGGCTTCCTTTGTCCCCTTACCTTACAATCGCAAAATCATGGGAAAACCACAATTTCAAAGCTTTCGGAATAAATCTACACGCGGGATAATGCTTTTATCTACTAGGTTAACAAAAATCGATGCGATCGTATTTACATTTTTGGAACGGAAATGACGAAAATAGTTTCTCAGGCGTTTTTAAGTCTCTCTACCAGTGTGGCTTAGAATTAAAAGCGTGCGGGTTCATGACCAACATGAACTCGAAAGGCGTACCATCCTCTTTTCCCCCTCAAAACGCGCTTATTCTCAGTAAGCATTCCAGTTATCTAGTACGGTAACGATAGGGAATGATGTAATACGTGTTGTCTTTTTTCACTTTTAGTTTAATCATATGTACATATATGCACAAGATAAATACAATATGCATTACATGCATTATGTGTCTACTCATCAAATAGGTATATACAAACTGAGACTGCCGTGTAGTTATACTTGATACTCGAAGAGTGGTATATTAGATTTGTGGTGGAAGTGGATGTGTGTAACACCCAGAAGGAAGCGTTTACGACCCTATCAAGTACACCTAATTTTGTTTTTACACGGTCTTTTTTTACACGTTTTTCAAATAACGGTTTGATAATCAAACATTTTTAATTTTTGTACACGTATTTTCTCCATTTAGTACGGTTCAAAATAACAACACAAATAGATAAAAAAAAACATACACAAACAGCTAGAAATCAAACGAAAACAAGAAAGAGCTTAAAGAGAATAAGTACATACACCGATTAATCAATTTCTAACAATACAAACATACATACATACTAAATTTTTGGATGTCATATTCATAAATTAAAAAAAAAATTTTTTTCTAAATAAAACTTTTTTCAACGGTCATTTTGTAATTTGATCAAACAAAGAAAACAAAAATTCTAAAATTCTAAAAACGATTTCTTCAACAAAAACTAAATTTTTTCCAATAGGTTGCATAATACGAATTTTATCTCCGCACTTGCAACATCTCTGCAAGTCACTTAGATATATCTCCAACTCAGCATGGATTTATAAGGTGGCGATCAACCACCACGAACTTTTTAGAGTTTACCTTTTTCATTATTAAAGGCTTTCAAGGTATCTTACAGACGGATGTTATTTACACCGACTTTAGTAAAGCATTCGAATCTGTAAACCATTCCCTTCTAGCACATAAACTTGACCTTTTACCGTTTACGCCCAACCTCCTGAGATGAATTTCTAGCTATCTTTGTTCCAGGTCTCAAAGAGACATCTTCACAAACTACCTCTCTTCACCAGTCAAGGTTTCTTCGGGAGTACCACAGGGCAGCCATCTATGCCCCTTACTCTTCACACTCTTTATTAATGACTTGCCTTCGGTATTAACATACTCTCGAGTAAAAATGTATGCGGATGATGATAACTCTCTGTCTAGTATAAGGACATTTCATTAAATTCTCGCCTGCAATCCGATCTCAATAATTTTCAGTCATGGTGCTGTGCAAACTTGTTACACCGTAATGTCTCGAAATGCAAAGTTAGGACATTTCATCGTTTTAGCCCCTGGTTGGCTCCATATACCCTATGTGGAGAGAGAATTGAGAGAATTACCCTGGTGGATGATCTTGGTGTTATATTAGATGCCAAGCTAAAGTTTTCTGAACACATTTCTACCACGGTAAATAAGACCATGGGCGTGCTTGAGTTCATAAAGAGGTGGTCAAAGCAATTTGACGAACAATTTTAAACCAACCAAGAGAGAGTTTCGTTACGACATTTCGAGCTCGATTGGAAGAGGTTTCTGGGGTACCCCTGAAATTTATTTTCTTCATTCTGGCTATTTTTTTATACCCGATACTCAAAATGAGCATTGGGGTATATTAGATTTGTGGATGTGTGTAACGTCCAGAAGGAATCGTTTCCGACCCCATAAAGTATATATATTCTTGATCAGCATCAATAGCCGAGTCGATTGAGCCATCTGTCTGTCCGTCTGTCCGTCCGTCCGTCTGTCCGTCTGTCTGTCTGTCCGTCCCCTTCAGCGCCTAATGCTCAAAGACTATAAGAGCTAGAGCAACGATGTTTTGGATCCAGACTTCTGTGATATGTCAATGCTACAAAAATATTTCAAAACTTTGCCCCGCCCACTTCCGCCCCCACAAAGGGCGAAAATCTGTGGCATCCACAATTTCGACGATACGAGAAAACTAAAAACGCAGAATCGTAGAAGATGACTATATCTTCTAGAGTGCAAAATCTGAACCAGATCGTATAATTATTATAGCCAGAATCAAGAAAACAATTTCACTCTTTCTCGCTCTGTCTCTCTCTAACACACAGGTTTCATGGTCGGTTTTGCCAATTGCAAAATATGAGTTCAAGGATCTCAGAACCCATAAGAGCTAGAGCAACCAAATTTGGTATCCACACTCCTGTGATATCGG